ATCTTTCCTCAACCGGTGGGCATCTTCAAACCCACTTGCGACGGCAATGACAGCAACCATTGAGCAACTGTTCCTGTTGCCGCCTTTTTGGTGAGAACGCTTGTATTTGAATACACGGGTGCGGAGTCGGGCTACAGGCTGCGGCCGCCAGTTCGTTTCGACGAGAACAATCCCAAAGACAGTTGAAGATGTCAAGTTCCACTGTTCCTACGAAATAGAAAGGATGAAAAGGTTGAGTTACAAGTCGGTGCGGCAACATCGTAGATATGAAAGCAAGCTGTCGCTGTAAGATAATTTATAGTGAATCGACATCGTATGTCGCTACATTAGTATATGAGCCTTATTGTGTTAGCTTGAAGCTATAAAATCATTTAGTATATGAGCAGGTTGTCTTTGAAAAAAGGATCGCGTACATGCATCATTGGTCAACTGTCGGAAGCATACGTTGCTGCGCTCGCTCTAGTTTCCTCGGGGTTTCAGTAGCTGTCACACCGCTTGTTTTTGATTTCATAAAACTCGTGTGATTACATAAGTCCTACAGCTATAAATCTAGAACAAACGAGTACGCTCAAGATTTTGTTCTCGCTTGCCCGCTAATGAATAAAAATGTTATTTCATATATCTATATATGAGTCTACTCAGGTAATTCAAAAAATTAATGTTTTCTCAATAAATTATAAAATCCATGGTAGTCTTGGTGAATAACAGGTTTGAATGCTTGCAAATTATGGTACTTATTTCCTTTTATTCGAGAAGGAGCGAACCAACGCCTAAGTTTATTCTTTTTGGTAAGGAAGTCCATTCGTGATCTGAGTTCGATTTATACAAATATTCAATTCCCTGTGAGGTATACCTGAGAACCCTTATGTTGGTAAGACAAAGATCTCCTCTTTTCCTCCTGGTCTTACAGATGAATAATATTTAACATCTTAGCTGAGAAAAGTGTGTATGTATAAATGTTTTTGCTAGAAATTAGCTTTTCATGCTACTGAACTTGACTTAACTTTTAATCAATTCAAGCTCAAGTCAGGTGTTCAGTGATTCCTAAAATTGTAGGGCGTCTTTATGACCTTTTTGATTTTCATAGTTTTTCCTGTCCTTCAAATAGGCGCTGTATTTTGAGGTAATGTTGTAAATATCTCTGTGCATCAAATTGTTCATGTTTTGGATTTCTATCATGTGTTTTATCAGCCTAAAATTTCCTACAATTCAAAAAGGCAACATAATTAGAGGAGCGCTGACACGGAACAGTAGATGTCTAGAAAGAAAAAAAAGTCGAGTTATGCATGCATTAACGTATCAAGTAATTTTATTTTCAAGTCAAGTATTCTATGAAAACTCAAGTTACTTTACTTGATGAATCCCTAGGAAGTAGTTTTCAATAATTTTCCAATTATGTAGAAGGCTCAGAAGAGACGGCCTTAAGTAATGTTCATGAATGGTGATGTTCAAAGTAGGGCTATCCGACTCTCAGAACGCGTCTCTGACATCGACGGATGGTTGATGACCTGGCTGTCTTCTATTCACACGCCGAATAACTTTGCACTTCTAAGCTCTCCTCCGTAATGCCTCGCATTCTGGACCTGCCAGACTGGGCTTCAGCTTCTTATTGTCTATCACATAATTTGAGAACTGGTCGCAGTTTTACTAACCCTATGCAGTTCAAGAACTAATCAACAATACATGTTTGAGCCGTGACTATTCTCAAGCGAATGACTTGAGTAATTTTCAAATTACCACACTCTCGAGAATGAAATTGAATAGCTTAGTAGTAGTCATAATCTCCGTTTGAACCCTTTAAAGGCAAATATGCTGGTATACTCACATAAAACAAAAAGGAATGATATAAAATATGATATAAACATAAATTTAAAAGGTAATAAAATCGTTCCTGTGGATCATATTAAGTACCTAGGTATTATAATGGCTAATGATGTAAAATTTGTTGAACCCGTTTCTTATTTTCAAAAATTTTAGATATTATAACAAGAAATCGTATTCAAACCATGATGAATACATGTTGCAGGCTCGTAAATGATCTCAGAAAATATGGTCATATATCGAAGGCCATAACCTTAACTGGATGAAAATTGATGAAATGTATAAATACCAGTCCGACTTAAGGTTGATTTCCATTCCATATCAGTTTCGTAAACGTTCCGTACAATGTGATTGTATACACAGTATACCTTACGGATAATGTGCATACACACGCAATAGCCTTTAAGCGAAGGAACATTTAATTTCTATAATTTACGGAACGGTTACGGAATGGAAACGGAATGTATAGTGAGAATCAACCTTTATATGGTTTTTTTGTTCAAAAACACGGTCATACTTGTATTTAGAAAGAAAATTCATACGTAAGAGGAAATATGCATGGTGTTAACATTAGATATAGAGAGTCTTTTTCAATCCTACGCCACAGCACATCTCTGTTTCAGAACACATATGTTTACAATTAGATAATTTCCTAGGCCGTAGCTTGAAAAATACTAATTTATACCCAAAATTCAAGAAAAAAATGAATTAAACTCTACTTGATCAGCAGTGAAGTCTTTTTTAACCAATTAGTGTTAACTGACCTCTTCTTTATGCCTTTACTTTAATTATGCTTTATTATTGTATGCAGATATCAATTTTAAACAAATTTTCAGTTTTTATACATCTCGTATAGTTAAGAAGGTTAGGTTGTAGAATAGACATAGTATCTAAATCGAGCCTCCGGTACTGTGATTACAAATAAAAAGACGTTAATTATTATTATTACTATTACTATATGACAGTAGGTCACATTCAAGTATTCACTGGGCTGTTAAATAATAACAGGTACTACCCGAACAAGTGTTGCGATGAAAGCCTCAATATATATATAGTTTGTAGTGATCCTCTTCAAGTGAAAGCTGAACTACTTTTACCTCATATATGAGAACACACGAGGATTTTGTCCTGACTTGGCATTCGGCACGGGCATTAAGTATTTTAAAAAGTGATATTTCGTCGTTTTTTTTGACATTTCGTAGTTTTTTTTGACACTTCGTCATTTTTCTACACGACGTTACCTTAGCACAACCTGTTGTAGAGTTGTTGTGAACTCGTTTTGTAGCTGTATGTGTTGCTTAAACGTCAGCCTACAATCGTCATAGCGAGCAAACGTGGGCTGAACTATTTGCACACTAAACACTTTTTTGACTATTTTTAGGCTTTTTGCATAATAACCCTGCGGGTATATGGCATGTGATGAAATAAGTGACATTTTTGTACCAAGAATAAATAACGGAAGATGACCAATATCATTTTTTAATTCTCTCATACATTTGTAATTAAAATGTCACATAAATTATAGACGCTTTCACTTGAAACTAATAGCAATCAAATTATATGTCATTTTTAAGAACCAAATTAAACATAACCATAAATCAGAAGTTATAATTTTTATGAACCTAATGGGGTATTTGCTTCATCATATTTTTTAGTTGCAGCTTAGAAAACGATAATACCGGATGACACAGAAAAGTGGTCCAACTCTTACAACTTATAAATAAAATAAATAATAATAATAAATGTTTGCAGAAATGAAAACCTTTTATGCTATAAGATGTCGACTATAAAATGATTGGTCATTGTAAACATCTCTGGAAATATCTACTCAAAACTTGCGACTTTCGATAATTATACATATCGTCGTCGAAAAGTCAAAACCTGGTAACTAAAAAATAATAGTTTTACAGGAGAGATAAAAACTTTCCGAAACAGATGGTGACTGTGAAAAAAAACAAGTCTTGGTAACTTGAGAAAATGTTCATGCACTAGACATTAAGGCAAAAACGAATAATAATCGTTAGTTTTGAAGAAAAACATAAATTTGATGAGTTACGAGCTTTCTAGCCAAAATTAATGAGACTTGTATTGAGATACGATGTTAATCATCCACTATGCATAAGTAAATGTTTGTAATAATCATTAAATATTGGTAAATAATAACTAAAATTTGGTAATAATAATACGAGTACACTGGGACTCACGAAATATTTTATTTTCAAATTAATATGAATAAAAATGTTATTTCGTATATCTATATATGAGTCTACTCAGGTAGTAATGTTTTCTCAATAATTTATAAAATCCATGGTAGTCTTGGTGAATAACAGGTTTGAATGCTTGCAAATTATGGTATTTATTTCCTTTTATTGGAGAAGGAGCGAACCAACGCCTAAGTTTATTCTTTTTGGTAAGGAAGTCCATTCGTGATCTGAGTTCGATTTATACAAATATTCAATTCCCTGTGAGGTATACCTGAGAAATCTTATGTTGGTAAGACAAAGATCTCCTTTTTTCCTCCTGGTCTTACAGATGAATAATATTTAACATCTTACGCCGGCCACTCACGTTCCGGTAGACCTGAGGGGTATGCCTGCACAGGCGTGCCTGTACAGGTATACTGCAACGTGTGTGTGAGCAAACCTGCGCAGTTCGGAGCAACTGTGCAGGTGACCGGAGCAGAATTGAAAATCGATTCGGTGTACCTGTGCCAGAGTGTTGTCGTACGATGTACCGGAACGTGTGTGCCGACTAACCTGTACAGTTCGTCAGTTTTTTCGGTAATTGGATACGAAGGCCACTTGTTTTTTTAATAAAATGGCGTTAAGTACGGAAGAACAACGTCGAATAATTGCTGAGTTTATAGAAATTTATAAATTTTCGCCCTGTTTATGGCGAATTAAGGCGAAAGAATATCATGATCGTGCAAAAAGGGATGCAGCATATAAGACACTTGTGGAGAAACTGAAAGAATTAGATCCTACAGCCGATAAAAATGCTGTAATAAAAAAAATTAATAATCTAAGAAGCAATGTAAGAAAAGAGAAAACAAAAATATGAAGATTCTGTTAAGTCGGGAGCATCCGCAGATGAAGTTTATCACCCTAAGTTGTGGTACTACAACTTATTTGTCTTTCTTGGTGACCAAGAAACGCCAAGAAATTCCACATCGAACTTGAATGCAGATGAGGAGACTTTATCTGAGGTAAATTAATAAAACACAATCTATCATTATTTTTATTCATTATATATTTAGTTAATATAACTGTTTTGCCATGGTACGCTGCCCTCATGATTAAAGTAATACATGAAATTTTCCCTAACATTTTTTGCTGTGTCATTGATATTGCCGGGGTTTCGTTGCTCTAAATTTTCCATGCTAGAGTTTTGTGTATTGTATCCATAATTAATAACGGTTCCGTCAGCATTTTCTTCTTGAACACATTGTTTAGGTGCGTATGATTTTGGTGAATTTTCTATGAGAAAATAGTGCAGCACAACTGCGGCCATTACTATTTTAATAATGTTTTCAGGTTCAACATTAATTTGAGTATGAAATATACGAAATCGTGCAGCCAATATTCCAAACGTATTTTCGATGATGCGCCTTGCACGAGACAATCTATAGTTAAATATTTTTTTCTCGTTCGAGTTCAAGTCCGCTTGTCGAAATGGTTTCATCATATCGCTGCGTAAAGCAAAAGCGTCGTCGGCGACAAACACATACGGCAGATTCCTACCATTTCCTTTGACATATTCTTCGGTTGGGATACGTAAATCACCTTTTGTCAACATTTCGAAAAATTTTGTGTTTTGGAGAACACCTCCATCCGAAATTCTTCCATTGGTCCCAAAATCTGCTAAAATAAATTGATATTTGCAATTCCTAAAAGAACCATACTGTGTCGGCCTTTATAATTAAAAAATTCAGAGCCACTTCCAGCCGGCGGAATGATGTCAATGTGCTTGCCGTCGATTGCGCCCAAACAGTGTGGAAAGTTCCATCGTGCCTCAAATAAATCTGCTATTTCTTTCCAATCTTCCTGGCATTTTGGAAACTGAAAAAATAAAACAATAAAATTACAATGTTTACAAAATTACAAATAAATATAATATTACAAATAAATACTAAGTATATATTACAAATTAATACTAAGTAATATTATTTTAATGTTAATAATATTGTTTATTTTAGGTTGAGTCAGTACAAGAAAACGTTGACTCGGAATGTCCATCTCAAGCACAACCTACAACAGATGGTACCGAATCGCTAACGCAAAATGAGAAGGTTGCGTGTTCTTCAAAGAGTGGCACAGTGACTTTTTCTCCATCAAGGCCAGGAAAAAACAACTACGATTCTTTAACCAAGGATGTTTTGACCACTGTGCAAGAACATTTTAAGCGTCCACGTACAGAGGAAGACCGTTTTGATGTTTTTGGGAAAACTGTTGCTATGAAACTAAGAGAAGTGGACAAAAAGCAGAGTCTAATTGCAGAAAAAATAATCAACGATGTAATATTCGAGGCTGAACTGGGCGGCCTTACACTGCAACATAGATGCGTTAACATGCAGGAAATGTATAATGCAAGAAATCCTAACATGCAGCAACACCAGCCACTTATATTACCTTGCCAGTCGGCTTCCAATTCTACATCATATTCGTCCTCTACCAGCTTTATTAGTACCCCTGCTACAAGTCCAAATTGTCAATTCCAACAAAACAATTCAACAAACCAACAACAACTGTCTTCTGATGATGTAGTGGTTGTACGATTGAACAATACATCTGCTGCTTGTCATTTTACCGAATTCACAGACGATCAAGTGGTAAAAGAATTTTGAAATCCCCTTAGATAAGGAAATCCTAAAGTGCACAAAAACCCTGTTTTTGCCAACTTTTAAGGTTATGTACACCCGCAGACTTTTTTTTAAATTCTTGAAAATGTACATTCAGGCTCCTAAAGTACAAGTCATCATCTATCAAATAATGCCGTTATTAATAATAATTATTAATATTCCTACTTAAATAATTTGTAATAAATACGTTTTAAAAAATAATAATTTGTCTTTTACTTACTTTCAAGTATTGTTTGCGCAGAACTTTATACAAAGCATCACACGTTTCGGGAATTATTTTTCCCAGGGCCTGAGGTGAAATAATTGTAGAATACTTCAAGTCTTCATAACTTCTTCCTGTTGCTAGGAATCTTAGAGTTGCAGTTAATCTTTGATGAGGTGAAATGGATTTTCTCATTACAGTATCCTTCTTTATAATAAAAGGACTCACCAAAGAAAGCAATTTTAAATATGTTTTCTCATCCATTCGTAGATAGTTTTGAAAATCTTTAGGTTCACATTTTAACTCGTTCAATAAATTGACGTGACTGTAACTTTTTCGCTTTAGTATCCAATCTTTGCACCATTTTTCCCGTTTTTTCCTTACACGTTTATTTAAAGTCAATAAGAGTGCTAGCACAGCGAATGCATCATCACCTTTCGACGCCATCATCAACTGAACAAATTCTAGAATTTCACCATAGCGTGTGTGGGCTTGTCAGGTCTTCGGTATACCTGTACAGTTTTACCTGCACAGTTGTACCTGCACAGGTCTACCGGAACGTGAGTGGCCAGCTTTAGCTGAGAAAAGTGTGTATGTATAAATGTTTTTGCTAGAAATTAGCTTTTTATCGATCTCCTTTTTGTACAGCTCATAGACCTCACTATATGAGTTAAACAAATTTTGTAAGTAAAATTTACTAGTAGATGCTCGACAGTAATGTGAGAGTAACTTTGGTATCTTCTCAAAAAGTAATTTAATTGCAGATCTTTTCTGCTTATTTATAATACTTTTCTTGTTTTATTGTTTGGAAAAGTTTTCCTTTTTGAAACAAGAACTGTCACCCGTTTTCACCCAATCTAAAACAGACCACTATCCTAACGCCAGTGTAGAAAGGAACATACTTTTAGATACAAGTAGTACAACAGTAAGATGGGGTAAAAGTAGGAGAAATCTCGTCGAGATTTTTTCTTGGTGAATTGTTCCAAGTTTATTTACAAGGGCAGTTACTAAGGTTTGTCTCTGTTTACCAGTCCATTTCTCCTGAAAACCTATCGAAAAGTGCCTGTCTTTGATCATCAGTTATGTTTCGGCACTGTCTCTTGTTTCTAGAATTATTGCATTTTTTTTAACTGCACCTTTCACCATCTTTCTAGCTCTCTTTCACTAGATGTAATGTAATTTTGCTTCATACCTTTTTCATTCGTTTTTATCTTGTTCACTTTCTTTCGGTCTTTTCTTCTTGTTTGTTTGTATATTGTCTGCAATATCGTCTGGAATGGCTTCACGTCGAAGAAGCTTATCCACGTGATGTATGTACTCTTTTGGTCTTTTGTTTGTTGCACTCTCTGAAGAGTCTGGTCAGTAGCTAGACCCAGAGTCCTCAAACGGATCAGGTACATCAGACAGACATTCGCTTTCTTCAATAGTTGATCTACTAGTACATACGTGGCTTTCGCATTTCAACAGCAATTATATTGAGATACGAATGCTCGCAGCGCACGCATTTATCGTTCAATCCTGATACAAAGTTTTGCATTCAGCGCAGAAAAATATTTGAAAAAATAATGAGCTCGTAGCTCAAAATGGCCAAAAATTGAGATACGAGGTCTTAACTTTATGACGATGATATGGGAAAAGCATCCAAAAACCTAACCCTAACTGGCAAGCGATACAGCCTTAGGTTTGACCTATATATTATTTATATTACTCACTTTGAATAGGGTAGGCTCTAAGAACTAGCATTTAGGACCAACACTGTATTATTTTTTTAATAATTTGCACTTTGAAAAATGCTGGTGTTACTAGCCAGTTAAAGAGAGCGAGATGCATCATCGAGATAATCACATAACTTGTTTCTGAGGTTATAATAAAATTTCCCTGAATATAAAGAAATTAAGGCCAGGTACTACATAAAGTCCTACCGAGCCTTAATCAAACACACAAAAAATGTAAGTATCATTCCATAATGAGTAATAAATTCGGACTGTGAAATAAAGGCGGACACCTTGGTATCCATTAAAATATTAATGAGGACTATGTAGTGTTTTGTGACGAGTAGTACCATAAAAAAACTTTTTTTTAATATGAATCGTGTCATTAAATCCCTTAATGACCATCTACTGTCATGCCCATGAAAAGTAAGAACATGAAGCTCTATTTTATTGACCATTGACACCAAATGTATGCAACTCTAATTAGGAAGTGTATCATATGACTTACATTTTGAGTGAAATGTGATGATTGATAGCGTAGAGGTATAATGATCTTTATGTATTTAAAAAGTTAGAAGCAGTCATAGTTAATGGGCCTACAACAGACGCGTTTTTTCGTGAACGTCAGTCGGAACAAATCATACGAATTGAGCTACAAGTGTTTTTTAAAAAGGCCGAACGCAACAATTTGTTGAACGAGCTTGGGTGATTCGGAGTGATGGAAGGAATGCATAAATACTGCATGAGTGGCAATTGAAAATTTTAGGATGTTGTCCATTTTGGAACATTTTTGAAATGGAATGGGAGAATCAAGTAACACCTCGTTTCGAAGCTACATACGTATAGATACTTTTTAAGAGTACAAAATTTCTACTTTGGTGGACCAGTAGGAGAGTGATGGAAGGAATGCATAAATACTGCATGCGTGGCAATTGAAAATTTTAGGATGTTGTCCATTTTGGAACATTTTTGAAATGGAATGGGAGAATCAAGTAACACCTCGTTTCGAAGCTACATACGTATAGATACTTTTTAAGAGTACAAAATTTCTACTTTGGTGGACCAGTAGGCTGCCAAAGTTTATGGTATTTGTATATTAAACAATTTATAGTTCAAAACCAATCATCATAATGCATACAAATGTTCTTCTATAGGAACAGTATATCAAATATGCAATAAAATATGGAACATGCCGTTTTCAAAAAAAAAAAATCAAAATCTGTCATTTTTTTACGGAATGTTTCATATGTTATTGCATATTGAGATAAACCGGTCCAAACGAAAATTATTGATATGTTTATATGATATACAGTAATGGACAAAATTATATAGACAAATATGAATATTTACCTAAATACCTTTAGAAAAGTAATTCATACTTCATTGCTTCCTAAACAAATGCTTTATTAGTAGAAAAACTAAATTCATTGTTTTTACATTATCTGCAATGAACACAAATCAAGTCTGAATATATGTAAGCACTTTTTTATGAGGTACAAAGATATGTAGACAAATTCTTTTCAACATTAGTTTAGTACAGTTTCGTGTCAGAAGAGGAGTAGAGTGATTTTAAGACCATGCCGCGTGGTAAAGAAATTTCTTTCGATGTGAAAACTAAGATCAAATTGCCAAAAATTTGAAGCTGAAGCGTAAAGCAGTTTGGGCAATATTTAACAAATATAAACAAAAAGGTATCTTGGCCTCTAAGAGAAGTGGTCGGCTTAGAAAACTAAGTGCTAGATCAGTTAGATTAATACAGGAGGGATGTCTTTTAAGTTTTGCATATAGAAACATAGTAGGCCGCGCGGATCGAACGTCAGTATTGAATCTTAACCTCACTATTTAGTAAACTTAAATTCAAAGTTTCACAACAATACGTGCAGTGTTCTCACTACAGTGAATTTTTAAGTGTCACCAAGTCATTAGAAAAATGGACCTCAACCGAGAACATTTTCGCGCCATAATTCATTACAACTTTCAGGGACAATTATCGCAACAAGAATGCCTTGCTGAGTTACTGTCTGTCTTCGGCAACGAAGCGCCACATCAGTCGACAATTTCCTGTTGGTATGGAGAATTAAAACATGGACGGATGAGTCTTAGCGACGATTCCAGGGTGGGTGCACCATAAACGGCAGTCACCCAGGAAAACGTCGATGCTGTGCGCAAACTCATCATTGGAGTTAGACATGTGACATATCGCGAGATTGAGGCGTCCTTGAAGATCTCAAAGACCTCAATTCAAAAAATGTTACATGAAGAATTAGGAGTAATAAAATTAGTTTC